GCGTATTGAATCAAAGTGTTAACAAGTTCACCTAACATTTCACTCATACCGGTCTATATTGTATAGTCTGATTTCTCAAGTATTTGGAGCCACGAATGCTTGTAATTTTCTGACTAAACCCTTTTATTAGTTGGTTTATATACCAAATTCAGTAAAATATTTTTTAAATAAAACATGAGATATTGGATTTATTAGCTTTTCCATTCTGAATCATATAGACTGCTTTATTTATTCTTAACGAAAATTAATAAATCTCCTCTCTTTCTTCAGATGTGAAAGTTGTGGACAAACCTGTCTAAGCATTGTGAGACTCTTGCAGCACAAGAGGCAATAGCAGAAATAGTAAGTATATCAATCAAGAAATTAAGCCGACATAAAGCAAAACTTTCAACCATTCGTCTAATCTCAATATCCTATTATTTATTCACAGGACAACTATAGCAGACGGGGATATATCAGAAGTCTGGCGACATATCAGTGACAGTGTGATTCCAAGAAATATAATGCATTTGAAAATAGAAAATTGCAATAGAAAAACAACCTATGGAGGCATGCAAAGACATTTGACCCTCCGGTAGAGTTGTGTATGGCCCCCACATTCTGCAGGGCTTGAGGAAAATAACTAAAAATTCCAAAGCGTAAGATTGCATAAGCGGTCTTATTTGTAAAAAGGCACAAAACACGCCAGACATACTTAAAACAGCTTTGGAAATGAGGATTACGGGTACCTCACTGCACCTGTGTTATATTTGGTTCATCAACTTTTGGTAGTACTATAGAAGAAATTCCGGAAGGGGTATAATCATCATTCATGATAAAATACTATCATATATTTTTTGAACAACTTCAATCTAGACCAGGGATCTCAAACTCGCGGCCCCAGAGAACTTCCAGTGCGGCCCTCGAACGTTTAACAATAATTGTAATAGTATTTTGGAAGTTTTTTTTTTTATCTAAATGTAATAGATTTTTCAAACCTTCTAAAGTGAAATTGATTATTCACACAGAAAACAATTTACTGAAAGTAGTTTTGGAATATTGATTTTTTTTGTCCACATTTTGACCCAATTAAGAATACACATCAAGCTAGCAAAAGAATACTTGAATAAAACACTTGAGTAATTAAATTAAACGCAAAGTACATGAAGAAGGTGGCATTTTCGAAGAAAATGGGAGTTGTAACATTTCTGCTCTTCACAAAATTCTGAAGCACATTGTTTAATTTGTCATATTTCCATCAATACAATCAAAAAACACAATAAGCTCAGCAGTCAATATGACAAATTCGAAGACCAACTTCGAACAGAAAATTTCCATGTGTTTGTATATTAATATAATTATACAACGACTTAGTTACTAAAAATCAATATCAATAATAATTCAAGCAATCCTATGCCACGCAATGTAGTGCGAAATGTCTTGTCGAAAAAATCTGTCATTTGTTTTTTTACTGATCTATACATGAAATGATAAAAGTAACTTTTTTGCATTACTGGAATTAATTAAACATTCGTAAAGATCCAGATAAACCCATGATCATGTGGCCTCGTTAGTTAGAGTTGGTACTATAAAATCATTTCAGACTGGCCTTAGTATGCTGGTGACACAAAAAAGATGCCAAACGCCAGGACAAATGTAATTATTAAAACATTGAGTTTATACTGTAGTATTTTTGTTAATTTTAGGTTCATATATTTAGATTAAGTTATTTTTAGTGTATGTATTATTCTTTCCTTATTCAAAGCTTGTTCAAAAATGATTTTGATGGTTGTACATAGAATTTTACGATTTTTTATAACAAATACTGTAACTTGCAAATGTTGCAATAATAGTGGAATGCAAATATTAATATGTAATTGCATTTGAAATTGAAGAAAATAATAAAACTTAATCCAACTGTTTAGTTGCATCATAATATATGTCACAAACTAAAACTATCTTAAAAATATCTTTTAAGTATACATTATCAAAAACTGTTTGCGGCTCTTTTTACAATTTTCAAAATGCAATGCGGCTCTCGAAAACCCATGAGTTTGACACCACTGATCTATTCTAGACGATTCAAGCATTGCTTTGGGAAATTATATCACTTCAATTAAATTGAAATAATCTCGCTATATTAAATACAAAATCTTTGCTATCATAAAGGTAAACCAATTCAGCCACTCGAAATATACTGGCCTTATCAAAGCAATGGAGGCAAAATTGAGAGTTCATGAGCTATGAACATTTGTTCTTTTCTTTGTCTTGAACTTTCCATACTCCACAGCCCCTATTAATTTTTTTTTAATTTTAATTACCATGTGATGGTCATACATATCTTTAACTTGTATTTTCTGTCATGATGTATTATCTCAATGTGCCAAACTATTAATTAGTGTGCATATTTTGCTTCCAGATGACATAAATGTATTGTCATGTTTATTACCTCAGCTTGGAGTATTGACAAGAAAAAGGTGCCAGTAAATTAGGTAAAAAAATTTTCAACTCATTGTTATAATCAGAATTCACAATCAATAGGAATTATAAACAGCCAACAATCAGTGAGAATTATATGCGAAATCCCTCAGAATAAATTTGTCTAAAATCGGAGGAAGGCAAAAAATATAGGTAGTTTCCATCCACACAAGCATTTCAAGAAGACTTGCTCGAGCCAAACTGAATGAGCATCGTCAGGTGATCGGTAAGGCTGCAAGTTGAATTCAGCCCTGCAACCTCCTGTATAGAAGATAATATTAATTAGTGGGCTATGAGCTAAATTCCTAAATTTAAACAAACCTATCTACGATGCATTATGTACCAGCAATGTTACCTACGATTAACTGAATATGGAATATGTCTAATAAATTCACCTACAAAAGCAAGTTCGATAGGTGCAAACTTTGTGTTATGGAATTGTATCGCAGCACAGTTTTGTATGACACCCTCTTTAAATGAAATTTCAATGATTAAGCGCAAACATTAAAATTACTAACTTTGAACTTTGTCATTATCTGCAAAATGTTCCACACAAATCTTTCCGCTATCGCGTTTGTAATCTTCTCTGATAAAAAAAAAACGTCTATGATGTCCAGAATTGCTCTTTACAGCTTGCCTGTTATTCCAGCTTTCCAAGTAAGCAAAACTTCTTAGATATAGATATTATTTTGTTTCGTTACAGGCGCAAAAAGGCAGGTACTACACGTAAAAAAGACGCCGAGTAGCAAGAGCGAGCGGAAAACGGACGCGAAAGGCGACGAGAAATATGTGCATTGGAGCGTATCATGAAATACAATGTTTTGCCTGTAGTCTTATGGAGTGACGTCACAGTTGCCTATCATGTTGTTTAATGTCATTGGTCTAACGAAGGGATAATCAAATTTTTAATACAGGAGGGTCAGATACAAATACCTGGGCGAAACCGCGGGCCTGAGCCACTGGTTCTCAACCTTTTTTTCTTTCATGGCCCAATTTCGTTGCGCACAAATTCTGCGGCCCATTAGCTTTTTCATTCAAGGTGAAAACTACAAAAATAACAAAAAATTTTTTCTGCAAAAAATATACACTTTCACTTTGAGAATAATTAGGAGAAAATTACCACCATGTAACAAAAGCAGCATCATCATTCATTGATACTACCGTAAATATATACTGATACTACCATCAAATTTAACTACCGTAAGTTCATCAGCAACTCTTAGCAATTTTTAATAGGTTTGTGGCTAATCTGAAAATTTCATGTGGCCCAGTAATCGGCCGTGGCCCACTGGTTGAAAACCAGTGGTCTAAGCTAAGACATTGCAAATACTAGCTAACAATACCTCTAAGCGGCACGTGATTTATTGTTTTGAACGAAAATGATAGTTTGGAACATATGAGTCATTAAGCGCCAATCTCCCCAAAACACTTTCAAAATCAGCGTTGAAAACTTTGCAATGATACGGAAAATCATTGGGTCAAGAGTTGTCCATATCTTAATAGGTGCGTCACCGTCATGCTGTTGATTTTTTTATTGTTACGACTATAAAAACAGGAAAATCAAATGACATCCATTGACAAAGCAGTATCCCCCGAAACCTCACAGGTATTGAATTTTGTCACGTGATATCACGTGACGCTGAATTGCTAGTTTTGTTATGATATACAATACAGATATGTAGGCTACTGTATGACGCTACGCACGCATTATTTGTGATTTGACTAGAGGCCAGTCTGATCGTAGTCAAATTGGAAAGTCTTCATATTGCAGTATTAAGATTACTAATACGGATATGTTGTTTTGTTCTAGTTGAGAATTTGTGATATGTTGTTGTTCTGAAGTCCGAATTTTGCTGCGTAAAATTAGAAGAAGGGGTGCTACCGGTACTACAGTACTAGCTTCACAGTGGTGAATTTCGCCGATGTTGCGATTTACAGATTTAATCTTGGGTTAGTCAGTTAGTAAGGTAGTTTCAAAGTTTAGGACAGTTAGGAACCGCTGATTACCCCAAATCCTGAAGGGTATAATTATTTGCACAATCTGTAAAATATAATAAAATCCATGATTTGCCACTCTCTTCGAGGTTGAATAATAAAAAAAACATCATTTTTCTGTTGGTTCTGATGAATTACCGGTATGGAAGATGTACCAAATCCAGGTTATCCAGCAATCTAAGGCAACAAACGTCATACTATTTTTTTTATAATTATCATCTGATTACAAATTGTTTTTGATTATAGTTTTCTCTACTCTCTAACACTAACAGTTTGTACGAGTACCGGTACCGGTACTAGTCTTTATAACTGTAAAAACAGTTACATGACTGTGCAATTAAATTGTCATAAAATTTACAAAATATTGGTTAATTTGTCTTTATTGAGAATGTAAAATACATCGGTTACCGTATTTCTTGTTAGAGATCACAAGATTATCTTACTACCTACAGACCTAGTAATACATGTTCATTTTCCTAATATTGCATCATGATTTTATATCTTTATCATCATTCATAAATATAGGCTATTATATTCAGATATTTCTTTTATCTGATTCTATTTTCTAACTAGATTTTAATTTTAGTTTTGCTGTAGGCCTATATCAAAAAAAATAAAATAGAATGTCGTATGGAAAATCTAGCAAAAAGGGTAAGATTGTAATATTTCAGTGCATTAGCGAATGTATGCATATCGAAAATAATATTAGCTTTCGAGCTTTCATGAGTTCTTATCTGCTAGTTTGTTGTATTCATAATCGAATAATATGTTATGATCCAAAATTGCTTTATATTATTTATGGAAATAAGCAAGCACACCATTCTGACATTTCTAAGTATGCAAGTACTTCTGAAATCAATGTACCTTAGACAAATGATTATTAACATTCACTGGTATATCCTGTATCCATTTAAGTTAAAAATAGGGATCTCAATTACTTTTAAAGTTCGGAGTTGCTCATTTTCTGTTTGACATACCCATTCGCACACATAGGTTGTAAAAAACATATTTTGCGCAAAAATTAGAAATTCTAAATATTATTACCATTAACTGAATTCTATTTTATTATATAAACTATATTATATTTTCGTTTTTGGTTGACGAAAAATAAATCTCTCTCTTTCTATTTATTGAATTCTTGATGATATGAACAGGTCAATCATTTGTTTCATCTTTTTTTCCAGAAAAGCAATCAGGATATCCCACTGCATCATATCCGTCTGCCCCTGCCGCACAGTACCCACCAGCACCACCTGGAGCATGTAAGATATATATTATTCAATAACTTTACTATTACATTAATGAATTTTATAAGATATTTGACTTTCTCAAATGTATGAAAAAATATTGAAATTCATAGAAGAATACATACCCTTCAATTACCACAATTTTCTACTTGAACATAGCACTGATTTTACTTGACGCTTGTTCTGACTTGGTATGAGTAAATTTTTTCTAAATATTTATTCATTATTCAAAAATGTTTATACCACTATGCTTGTCTCAAATAGAGGCTTTTATGCTCAGTAAGAACTCATGTACTCAATAGGAATAGTTACACATAACTTTGAGATGCAATATATATCAAACCTTATAGGTCGTGTTTTAGCTTATTTTTGCAAATACGACACAGGTGTTATATGCCAGGCCAAACCAAATTACAAATTGAGGGTAAATTTACACTGGACTCTAAAACTCTAAATTATGATCCACTTTTGAAAATACTCTGACGACTCATCGTTGGAAAAAATTTTATGGGTTAAATAAATTTTGACTCCAGCTTTCACTTTTGAGCACCTGTCAAGAACGCTTATTCAATGATTTTCAGTTTCTGTCACAAATTTGACTTTAATTAACATTAGTAGTCTGAAGTCTATAATTAACATTTTCTAAACTTCAAAGGCAAATGCATTTGATTAAGAATTGACTGATCCTGACCCGATTTATATCTTTTTTAATCTCTGATATATTTTATTGTTTTGTGAAACAAATTATGATATATGTTTGTTGTTATATCAGATGGAGGACAATCTTATCAACCTCAGCAGGCTGGTGCAGGCTATTCAGGATACCCAGGCGGTGCCCCGCCAGCATATGGAGTACAGGGTGGTGTAGCACAAGGAGCGGTAGGTTGTCAATTTCTCCTATAGTTCCTGTTTGTCATAATATTTTAATTTTATACTCAACAAATTCTGATTACTCAATCCTAGCAAGTTCTGATATTTCCTTATGGGGGAGAATAGTTTGGAAATAGTCTAACCACAAAAGTATTTCAATTTTATTTAATCAAAAAAGTATTTTCTGGTTTATTGTTATCAGTTAGCTTTTATAGAATTTTATTTTAGTCTTTCAAAAGATACTGATGCATGAGAAAAGAGATTCACAAATGTGCATTCTTTTTAGCCACCTGCATACTATCCCCCAACTGGAGCACCCCCACCACCAACTGGTTATCCACAAACTTACGGAGCACCCCCAGGACACCAACCTCCAACTGGATATCCACAAACTTATGGAGCAGCCCAAGGACCCCCACAAACTTATGTTGTTCAAAACGGGTTTGATGCTGGTGCAAGATTCAGCCATGGATCTGCTACTCTTCCAGTGAGTATACTTTATTTAAAGATTAGCCTCATGAGAATATTCAGTATTTTACAAATCCTAATTGCAATTTAGCAATGTCATAACAACAATTTGCTTCTGAGATGAAGTTATTCTTTTATACGAATATTCATTTGTGATTGGCTCAGTGTGGTCTAATAATAAGAATCACAATTTTTTTTGATCAATTGCACAGGGTCATTCATGGAATCTTGTCCAAAATACAAATGAGCTTATTTTACTAAAATGGTGATTCGAATTCCCAAAATAACTCCCAAAATAAACTACATTTGTACAGGTCAGAGATGATTCAGATAGTACACACTTGTACACATCCAATATGGTTTCAAAAACTTTTCATTTTTTCTTTCACAGCCACCCCCACCAGGTGTGATGCCAAGTGCAGCACAAGTAGCTGCATCTCAAGGTCACAATGTTGTTGTCACACAAAAGAAGGGAAATGTTTGGACTGGTGGGTCAGATGGCGGTTACACTATTTGGTAAATTTCGATGATGAACTTCCGTACTTAGAAATAGATCCTCAATGTCTGTAATTTTGAATTATGTATATTTTTGACATGTATCTTTTAATGGTGTTATATACACTTTAATTATAGGTATACTTTTAGTTTTTGTATATATTTGAAAAAATCTTGTGCTTCAATTCTTAATACAGACAACTGATTTCTCATTATTTTATTGTATGCATACCACGGATTGGTGTTACTGCTTAAATGCTGGACTGTACTAAGCTTTTTGCCCTTCACATAGCAGTTTTTGAATAGATTTTTGTTCTTACTTTTTTCACTAAAATACCATTTTCGATTCCTTGGGTCCGCATTTTTCCACTATGCAACACCTGAATATTGTTGAAGTGAAGTCGTGGTTCAGCTGTTCTTTCACTTATAAGCAGAGTTTCCATAACGTCTTTTTTTCTAAGATTTGTCCTTATTTTAAAGGACTTTGTCTTATAAAACTTTTTGTCTTTATTTCTAAGAAACGTCCTTATTTTGACATGTGTCCTTATTTTAGGGGTAGATATTTTTATACCGAGCACTTAGTTTGGTCAATTGGTTAGCTATAAGCCTATTAGGCAACGTCCTATGGACTTTCTTCTCCCTTGGCATGAATATGAAAATCCTATCATTTGATCTGACAGGCTAGCAAACAACTGTATTAAGAACATATGTAGAAAAAATAAATGTGATTGTTTCTTTTTTGTCGATATAAATACAAAGACCTGTACCACAAATTTCTTTTTGACGTTTGGATAATATTCATAAACGCGATGTTACGTTTTTCCGTGAGGCGTGAGCAGAGTATTTCCAAGACTTGCGAAACTAGTTTCAGGACTTGAAAAGCATGCGCAGCTATCATATTGACCCGCGAGTAATTCCTTGCTGAGGATAGGGAGGGGATGAGGGTTCAAATTAGCTAGCTAGTCCAGGCATCACTATATATGCCACACTTGTGTATACACGTATTGCAGCTAACAAGTGAAAGAAATTGATCGTGGGCCGAAACCAAGTTACTCAGTGGGAGTTTCTACCAGAGGTACGCGTCTAAAAGATGTGTTTGAGTGAATATGGTACTGGATCCAAGAAAATTAGTTTTTTATTTCACACCACAGTATTCAGAAAAATCACTTATCGATATAACTCAACAATATAAACAAGCTTTAACCACCGAAAAATTCAAACTGAAGTAGAGTAATTGGTCTAATAGTTTAAGAGAAAGGGGACAGCCTGATAACAAAACGATCGAATAATGGACAAGAGAGCTATGCTCAAATATTTGGACACGTCACAAGCTGTCGCTATTTTTCATTCTGACACATAAAAAACGATTCTCTTGAAGTCTACATAAATTTTTGAAATAAGTAAAAGTAATAGCCTTTTGGCGAAAGAATCAATCTTTAACCACTGAAAATTTCAAAGCAATTGGTCCAGTATTCGAAGAGAAAAGCGATTTTATTATGGCGAGGGAGAAGAAAAACAAGAACAACAACATAATATTGAAACGATCGTTACGTACACTGACGTGTCCAATAAGTGGAATGTATATGTATAATGCATTTGCAGTTCTTTGTATTTTCGGCTTCTGATCGTATATCAGAATGGATATATAAATAGCTTCCAAATTGGTTCAATCTTTTCAGAAATAGTGTTTTCGTCATACTCAAACAAAAGAATGTTCAAATTGGAACTGCTTTTGAAATGAGAACAAAATCTCGTCCCCTTTCTCTCGCACCTAAGTCGGGGAATTTGAGTACTTTTATTTCGGTACTTCGCCAGTAACTCTGGGCTTTCCCACGCAGGAGGGCTAAAACAGTATTTATAAAAAAAAATACAAATGAGATCTAATCTAAATAAGTAATAAATTGAACAATTAATGAAAATAACACGCCAATATAAAAGTAAATAATGTGGCTTATCTAACTGGGCCAGCCCCCCAAAGAAATAGGAAATGAATGTCGGATGCTCGTTGATTGGCTCGCAATCTGGCGGATATATAATTGGAGTGTAACATTTGAATCAACGCCAGTCGCGGCCAACTCGCCGAGCAAAACCACACAGAAAACAACAAACAGAAAATAACGTGAAACAATATTGCTGCGAAGGGCTGGACAGCTCGGTAGTGGGTTCTAAAGATGAAAACTACTGTATAATAAGTACCACTCGCCTTTTTCTATCAACCAAATTAAGTGATGAGAAGGTGTGAAGTGGTCGGGAAAAAAATAAATAAATAAAAGACAATTGATCAAAATTATAAAAAGGTGACATATGATAAATCTGCAAATTAAAACTGGGATAATGGAGGCGAGCGGTATAAAACTAATATATATATATGGCTGGGCTTACCATACGTCCCGCGTTAGGCGAGACAGTCCCGCTTTTTAGCGTCTTGTCCCGCCGTCCCGACAAGTCAACCAGAAGTCCCGCTTTTGCGTTCAGCCATCCAGCATAATACACGAACATGTTCTCGTTACTGCTGTTGCTGTGTAGCGCAACGCTAGTCTACTTGCTGGAGGTGAATGCGTTATTTTGTTTGCTTCGTTGTTTCCCGCTAACATTGTTAGCGGACGTAACACATGTAAAATCAATTCTAATTGGTCCTGTTCGGACGTTCACGTGAATATAACATTGAGCAACGTCTTTTTGAAGGTGTTATCTAAAGAAGAAGCAAGCTTAGCGAATGAGTAAATTCCCAATGCTTGAAAACGGCAGACTATTTCATTATTCTTTATTCCTTTTGCTGTACATAAAAAAAATCTAAATTCGGATCATTTGTATCGTTAGCGTCTATTTCTTTCTATTTTTCTAAATGAATCCGATATTTATACAGAGAATATGCGCATGAACTCTTAATGACAATATGGTCAATGAAGACAGCCGGGATGGATTTAAATGTAGGCCTATGTAGTAAAATCGGAAACTGTAAAGTTACAGGATCACAGCTAAGAGGTCGTGTCTTTGGAGACGTCCCGCTTTGAAGTCCAAAAAATATGGTAACACTATATATGGGGTTCATGCCCATTGCCGAGCGTGAATGTGTGGAGGCAAGTGGTGGGGGGAAGGAATAATTTCAACCAAACAACTTAAAGCCACTGGATCAGTTATTTCAGTGAGCAAAGGACTCAAACTACTTCGGGAAACCGCTAGTGCGAATCAACCGGGTGATTATGACCAATCGAATTATATTCGGGACGTGATCTCTTGAAGTCCAGAGAAAATTTTGAAATAAATAAAAGTAATACCCTTCTGGAGAAGAGTTTTATCTTTAACCATTAAAAATTTCAAAGCAATTGGTCCAGTAAGCAAAGAGAAAAGCGACTTCTTCAAAAGGTGTCAAAGAACAAAACGATCGTTATGTCCACTACGTGTCCAATAAGAAGTTGTTCTCTACAATTTACTGAATTTAGTTACACGGAGCGCGGAAATTTTCTGTTGACATTTACTCATTAACATGAACACCAGTAATATAAATCTGCCAGGAAAAAATTCTCCCTTTATGCATAGAATATCGTCAGGCTATGCCTAAGTCATTTTCGGCGGTTTTGAGTTTTTTATAAAATAGGTATTTATGTAATGCTGCGCACCTGTCTGTTAACTCAGATTATATTTTAAGAATTCCGAAACTGTCTGAGTCCAATTCACCTTGGTTGGCCCTTATATAAGGGCGCATTGCTGTTTATTCCTTTTATATTTAGGCTTATTCCAGTGTGTGTGCAGAGCATGTTATATTGGTGAAATATATGTTCTTAAACGTAAAAAATAATGTAAATGAAACAGATTAGCTACTTTGGGAATTATACATTGTAGATACTGAGAATTACATTCGTTTTTGGAATGTTTGGTTTTCAGGACTGGTGCAGATAGTCAAGTTGCTAAATTGCGTATGTCCCCGAGTCATAGACGCATTTCTGTCTAAGTCAGCGTTTCCCAAACTGTGCTCCGCAAGAGTCTTCCGAGTGTTCCGTGGAAAGAAATCAATAATACGTCTAAATTGGTCACCATGGCGATCTAAAAATCGTGAAGTTGTCGCCCAACTGACCGTTCAATTTCGCGTCACCGTCGGCCTAAAGCGGACGAACTAAGGTAGGGTAGTGGTATTTTCATTAACCGTCGGCCTACCTTTTTGACTGTAAAGTTCATTGTCAAGTTTACAGCAATCCATTTGGTTTTGCTATAGGCAAACAAGTAGGTACTACTAAAGAGTATAAGCAAAAAGTCAACTCTTCTTCCTCCATCTCTGCCTGGTTTGACTTTGAAATGCTGAAAATTTGCTCATGCTCGCTAAACTCGATTCAGCAGGTAAAAAAAACTGCAGGTCTGCAGCTCGCGAAATTGTAGTAAGGGCTTCTATCTCCATTAGACGTAACATCAGAGGCAAAAGGTATATTGGGTATGTTTTAACACTATTCTATTAGTTTTCGCGGCGCATTTGGCAACTCCCCACTGCAAATCCATTGGGAACCGTTATATTACACCGTTTATCTTTATCAATTTCACCCTTTTATTTTTTGGTGTTCCGCGAGGCGAGATAAAAAGTGTAAGTGTTCCGTGGCCGAAAAAGTTTGGAAAACGCTGGTCTAAGTCACAGTGCGCCATTACGACGTTAACTTAAATCCGGCAACGATCAAAAAATTGAACCATGGCAAATTATTGACTCTCGATGGCATAACCATATCATTAGGAAGTTTTTTACGTTTTTCTCAAAACTGCTAAAAAGGACTTACGCAATTCGGTTATTAGCGTGACGATATGTGGTTATTTGTTATTCATTGCACCAGTCCCTTCGGAATAAATTTGGGAAGAACGAAGGGATCAGGTGTTAAATGTTTTCATCTAATATTGGCTCTTGTTTATAACAATAACAAAAAAGGTAGAACTTGAGAATTGGAGTAATTCCGCCATGAATTCATATCATCGATTCACCTTAATTTGAATCACAATCAAGTCAAAAATTTGGGGAAGGCAAAAAGATCGATATATTTAGACCTAGAAGATCAAATTAAATTACAATGGAATGCACATTTACCTCCCTCAATCTCATTCGACACAGTAACAATATCATGTTTATGCAGCTATTGCAAGAGACAGAAAACGAGGGGGTTAAAATGAAAACTGTTGGCATATTATATTTTACGTAATTTTTATATGCAATAAATAAAAGTAAAAAACAAAAATAAATGTTAAAAATGTAATGATGCATTGCAACGTATGGAAAACGTTTCGCCCAAGAGTGAAAGATTGCAAGGGATAATATCATATTCGCTGTTAATAGTTCCTATTGAAACTGCTAACAAATGTAAAAAAATAAGACGAGAATATCGGTCGGAGACCGAAGACTTATCGATCGAAGGTTAGGGGATCCCCCAAAACAACGCTTTTACTCCATAGTGACCCCGTGTGTCCTATCACTAATTAATTAATAACTCGCTAATTATACGGCATATTTCATCGAAAATCAATAGGCTTCTGATCTGAGCTATGATAAATGCACATGCAAAATTTCAGATTCAACCTCGCTTTCGTGAGATATCGCGTGCATCTAACAGACAGACAGACAAACAGACAAATACCTATCAACATACTTACCGATTAAAGTCGATAAGTAATTACCGATTAAAATCGATAAGTAATAACAACACAATGAAATTTAAATATAGCATATTTGTTCCAGAAAATATGTTCATACTCCGTGAGTTTATTTCTCGGAAACAGTGGTTTTCAACCAGGGTTCCGCGGA